TTTAAATTGTAATAGCTCAAAAATGTGTACACTATTTAGTTAACTGTTGTTGTCATTGTTATGAGTGAATATCCAATTGAATACTGCATTTTAATTATATAAACTTACAATATTAGTGACAATTTTAGGGAAAAATGGCGGCCATTTTGAAACTGCTGGCAACCCCTCTTACGTATAAAAAAAATGTTGCACATACTTTTTTGATTTATCAATGTCTACTCTACATCATATCCAATTTTTTAAAAATATAGCAAAAAAATGCAACTTCTGATATTGCTACATTTCGGACTGGACTATCATGTCGACGAGTTGAGTTGAGTTGAGTTCGGTGTCGACCAGAACCTGCCTTCAAGGAAGTTTGTTGAAGGATAACTACAGAATAGGCCTATTATAGAGGCTAATAGGGAATTTATTTAGGAAGATAATTAGTGTCTACATACTTTGTCATTTTCTAGGTTTCTTAACGATGGCATGACTGATGATTTGTAGTTGGTTGATCCTTCCATCATGACAACATTTGAAGATTTTTGATCCTGTAAAAATAAGCGAAAAAAAAATTCTATATAAAATTGAAATGGCAACGACAATTAAAAAAAATAATAATATTAATAATAATAATAATAATAATAATAATAATAATAATAATAATAATAATAATAATAGTATGTGATTATAATCATAATAGAAGCTAAAAAACTGTAGAGCCGCTATCAGTCCTCCTCAAAAGCAGCCACAGGATTTAAAATTAACATAGAAATACGGCATTTCTGGATGCCCAAAAATAGCAGCTGGCAAAGCTATAGAGCCTCTACCCCTGTCCAACCTGCCGTAAATTGACAGACACGAGATTTAAAGCCATTGGGTTCATACCACGCTCAGTCTTCAATGATGGACAAATATATAGACAAATAGACCTACATATTAAATGTAGGTCTATTTAAAAAATTATAAAATATTCAGCATTGAATTTCTATTAGTCCAATAACTAAATGAATTAAGTTGCCTACAGTATACATCTATGAAAAAACAAAGTGCAAGGAACACGAATACATTATAGTACAGTGGCTGCACATGTTACACAACGTGAAAGGTAAACTATAAATAATATGAAATTAAATAAAACAGGCGTTATGTATTCACAAGATGTAATATGCTATAGATTATGAAATAGGTCTACAAATGAATACCGTAGTTTCGAATAACATTATGCGGGTATAATTTTATTTACTCTACCCGTACTTGCATTAATTAATTATTTATCACGCCCTTAGATGACGTGTACTATCATTGTTATTTTTTTTTTAATTAATGAAGTGCTCTGTTATGTTTGCTTCTGCTAGGCCTTATATCGATTACACGTTAATTTTAGTCAATTCTTAGTTTGTTTACGACAGACAGACCCAGGCCTGACAGATCTAGGCCTACCAGGTAATAAAGAAAACTTTGATGAGGATGATGATGATGATGATGATAATGATAATGATAATGATGATGATGATGATGATGATGATGGTGATAATGATGATGATTATGATAATAATGATTATGATTATGATGATGATGATGATGATGTCGAAGGTGATGGTAATGGTAATGATGATATTGGCATATACTACAAAAATGTGTTGTTGGTGTAACGAAATGAACTGGGCTTATGGAACTAGATCTAATACAGTACGCAGTATTTATCATTCACTACTACATACTTTAATTAAATTAGATTAAATTTGTAATTAAATATCTATTAAAAAAATTGATTGATTCCAAGACATGCATGACGTCAGATGGAGGAAAACCTAAGTAAGTAATTTAGTTTTTAGATTTTATTAACAACAAATTTAAAAAAAATCGTATGTTTAAACATTTTAGATAAACCTGTTATATTATCAATAATGGCGATGACATTGTAATAAAAATGACAAAATTGCAATAGCAATGATAATGAAGACAACATAAAAAGATTTGAATAAATTCAGTAGGTAGGTACACTGTAGCAAAATTGTATTTCTCTGAGAGTATGGATTCAACATGTATCCCAAACATTCAACCAAAAATTAAATCAACTTTAAAGTCACCTTTTATTAATGGGACTTAAAAATTACAGTATTATAAAGATTTACTGATTTACTTACTCTGGCTTTGGCAAGTTCCCTGAAGAAACATCTTACACAGAGAAGAGCAATAAAAATGCCAACAATGATACCAAAAATAGAAGAAAGGACAATCTCTGTACTGTTTACTACCCATCCTTCATCGGCAAATGTAACTTCAACTGGTGTACAGCTCATTATGAACTATAATATCAGCACATAAACATAATCTAAAATTGAGCTGCAATCAGATAATGATGTAAATTTGTATTCAAAAATCCCTAAACAACTAAAAACACAGTGTAAAATCTTCTTTTGAAATCATATTTTCTGACCAAACTATGAAACAAAAATACGAAACTAATTACAATTATTTTATCATTGACTTTTCTTTTTTGTTGATCCAATTAAAAAAACGATATCGATTTTACTCACACTACGTTTCTTCAACAAAAGAGGGAAAGTCAATGACAACTATATTTCAATTTATTAAATTTTAATTTAATTTAATATATACATTTATTCAGTCAGTGGATCACGAAAATACATGTCATTAATTTATAAAATAAAATTCCATTAATTTGGATGAAATTGTTTGACTTGTTTCAATTGACCATTACAAAAAAATTCTTTTGCCGTGGATGAATCAAAATATAATTAGTCTTTTGAATATAGTAGTCAAACGTTTATTTGCAAGGAACCAATAACAAATTTAATCTAATTCTTAACGGTATTGAACAAAACATCAATATTGTAATTAAAGTACAACAAAATAGTATCGTCGGCGAAGGACAAAACCTGAAGGGTATCGCTAACCTGAGTTAAATCATTGACGTATTAGAAGAGTAATGGTCCTAAAACCAATATACTTGTGACACCCCACAAGTTAAATCCTCCACCGACGATGAGAGCAGAGCCCAGCTGAATCAAATTGTTACCGGTCACTCAAATAATATTTAAACCATTCTAAAGAAATACCTCTTACACCATAACAGAATAGTTTTGAAAGTAATATTATCATGATTAACCACATGAAATGCCTCTGATAAACCAAAAATAAACTTACCAAATAGGCCTATTCTTTATTTTCAAATTAGACATTTATACTATTTACAAGTTGAACAATTGCATGGCATGCTTATTGATTTTATACGGGAAATATTTGATGAGGTACTCACAAAGCCTTGAGTTCATAAGTTGTTGATGATTTTTAGAGAAAATTGGCAAAATTGATATAGGTCTATAATTTGATGGTTGGCATGTGTCACCAACTTTTTTGAATACTGCGATAAATTTGGCTAATTTAGGATTTAGGTATTTTCCAAGATGTGAATGATGTATTAATGGTATAAGTGGGTTGATGTATATTAGATGTTGCCATGACATGCTCCTTTACTAGAGTCTAAATTATGAATAACAGAAATAACTTCTGTTTATGTTTTTTTCTTCTCATTTGTGGAGATAATCCACCTTTATTTTCAATCGTCTCCTATTTGTTTTCAAATATTTTCTGTTTTATACATATCTCTCTTTTTTTTTTTTTTTTTTTTTTTTAAATGTGCATCACAGTGCACAGGCTTCTGGTCTTAATTTTGTCTAATTGTTCATTCAGCAGCACATCAAATAACGAAATTTAATTTTCTCTCACTTTTTAAAAAAACTCCGATAATTTTACATCTACTGTAATATTGACACTATTTTTTTCCTAACAACCATTCCAAATCCCAATGTTATGACCCCAATAAATTCTCTATTAACAAAGCGAACACATTTTTTCTATTATTCATGTTAATTATAGAAGCCTCTTAGAAAGGTTTGTTCAAATAAAACACTCTTATCAATAATTAATTTTCCTTTTGATGTCATTGGACTGAGACCTGGCTTAAGTTCGACAATCCCCTTGGTTCAACCAGGAGTGACGATGTCCCCCGGGGGGGGGGGTCCGATGCCCCGACGAGGGGTCAGATTTCCCTGACGAAAGCAAAGTGGACGTGGTCGAGCTTCGATTAAAAGGTTTCGAAAGTGGTCCCGGGGGCGCCGGCCCGAAAATTTTAACAATTTAGGGGTTTTAAAGGCTTATGTAATAGATTTTAGAGTCTACTAATATTTAGAAAATACATATCATTTTTTTTTCTCCCGGACGAATTGTGCTTTTTCTCCCCGACGGTGGGGGGGGGGGCGGTGCAGCCCTCCCTGAAGGGGCTTCCCCCACCCATCCCCCGTCGGATGTACGAGCCTTCTTTCATTGCACCGACGTTTAATCTGTAACTATAAATTCAAATCTTATTAACGTACGTTCACTCCATCATGAATTATAAACATCACATCATGTATATTCATATATTTACACATTTTTGGGGGTTTCTGTATAAATAAAATTACGCCCCTTACGTTCATATGTTTCCATAGGAAACATATGAACGGGCGTTCAAAGCATGATATGAAATACATGTCACCCTGTGTCACCTCATAACTTACACTCTATCATGAATTATGAAATATGTCACATATTTTTTCTGGTATTTACTTTTATTATGTCTTGTGTGAGAGCATCCCACCTTTATTTCATGTATTCAATTAATAAATCAATCATATAATAATATGAAGTAGATTATAATTTCTCATATCAATTATTAATAAACGTTTCTAATTAGAGGCTGATAAACCAGTACCCCAACAATCAATTAAAAGACAGTAAATCAATTAAGATTACTTATCATTATTAACAGCATTACAACAATGTTTTACTTGTATAATTTCAATCTATTTTTTTCAATTTTATAATTAAAGTTAAAATTAAAACGCAGACCGTTAATCAGATAATTAACCCATGACTTACAAAACCGATCAATCATACATCAAAATGATCGATTATATGATTCCATCAGTCATGCCCGGTACATAAT